CCACACGATATTTTTTCCCTGACAAGGAAGTTCCAGAACTCGAAAATATAACCGGTGGAATAGGTCGCCTAAGACAAATAGAGAAGTGCAACCGCTGGCTAATTCATGTCAGTTTCCATGTTCGTGGCGTCCAGTGAAGTACCGAAATGGATTTTTGCAAATGTTCTCGTTTTTTTTCGTCCCATTTCCTCTCCCCTGAAATTTATCGCCAGATGTCTGAAGTGGTGAATTTCAAAATCACACTTTCCCTCAAAAACTCCCTTGCAAGTGGAACGGTTCCGCTCACAGAACACTAGTTTTTCTGAAAATCAGCCTGTTTCAAGATCGCAAACAAGTTTGGTGGCGATCGGAGGTCCGTTGATGGAGCCTGTCGGTCTATATGATGGTTTTACGCGTCAAAGGACATTCCCTGGACAAGGCTTTTTTGGAGAGTTATAGGACGCTGGCGTCACAGTAGTAGTTTAGGGAGTCTGGTGAATACTTGCACGGTTTTAAAGGTCGAAGGGCACCCGACTGAGGCATTCTGAAAAAGCAGGGAAAACTCCCGAACTCCGAGCTAAATGTGGTCGAAACTGAAATGACGGGAAGGGTTGAGAGAATTTAGCAACGTTCCTTAGTTGTTCTTTCTAAGATGCATATGTGAATCATTAGGTCCCCATTGGATTTGACCCCTGTTACGGTAGCTCTCTAAGTAACCAGTTGTCCGTGAAGATTAGCTCTAGATCGGAGAAATAATGGAATGATTCGTGCTAAGTTTTGGGTCCTGTTAATACGAAAAAAGTCACTACCAGAAAGCTCCCATTCAAGAAGATCGTCCCCAGGACAACCAAGTCCCCAAGGGAAGTCGTACGTTAGGGATCCTCAGTGAGGGGAGGGGCGTTTTTTGGTTTGTCAAGGTTTTCGGTTGTTGATTTTTCTCAGCTTTTTTTCTTTTCATGTAGGCTACGCATCCTCTACAACCCCTTCCACCCACAAATATGTTTCCGGGAGAAAAAGGAAGGATTTTTGAAAACAAAACTTCCGGAAAAAGTGATAGGAATTTGGGAAATTTCAGGAAGACGGTAGAAGTGATAGGTGAGGGAGGTCGCCAGAGGGAACTGAAAAGAGAATCTTGGGGATCCCTAGTTACCCTAGTGCAGGAACCCCCTATTAGAAATGAGAACTCTGCCCAGACTTAAAGGCCTAATGTCCAGGTCGGGTGGACTAACTTGAAGTATGATGGGTCTATTCAGATGACAGTGGTGCCGAAGGTTATCCCTCCCATAGATGCCTTTAAGATGCGGCGCATTGGCAGCTTGCACCGGAGGTAGTCCATCGAATTCCATTCCTTTTCAAAACAAATGGAAATGCTAAATATTTGCTCCGCCCGCTTTTGAGCGGATACGTCTCTGCAATCGCCATTTGTGTGACCTAGCGGAAGTCGTAGCGAATCGAAAGACCTTGCGACATGATCAATGAGGATGGTGTCTTGCATCTAATACACAGCGCTAGACGCAACTCCGCGCTGAGAGCGATGATTGAGTTTCGGCACAACGCACCCCGACGCAAAACCGCTACGCGCCACGAGGTCTTTTTTCATGTTACTTTCCGGTCTCGACAAAAGCCCAGCTTCCTCCGGTTCATCCTCTGACATGCCCCCGATACGGAGTGCTGATCGGGTCGCGCCAGGCTGAGCCAGGCCAGCCAGTAACCCGTGCTTGAAAACGCTCGATCTGTAGGCTGACGTTACTCTGGCGCTAAGCTTTTTACAACAGGCCAATACGTGCGGGAGAGCTATCACGATTGCGCCACAAGTCGAGTGCCACATCGAAAAGTATTAGCGTTAAACGGAAAGGAATGGGTATTTCCGGCTGTTCGCCCCAGAATACCTCGAAAGATACTGTAGAAACGTTCTCTTACCTCCTTTCCAATTCGTGTAGCGACCATAAGGTGTCTGATCTGAGTTCACATAGTCCGCTGAAGAGCCAAACCATGCCGCTCCAGTCCACATTTCACCATGCCGTGCAAGCTCTGCAAAAACCAATTGTTGCGTTAAACGAGTCCTATACGGCTATTAATTATTCTGCTTTTTGAACAAAACCTAATCAACCTAAGGGCAGGATAACTTCCCGTCAAAGTCCAGGATATGTTCAAGTTCTGCTACGAATTCGATTCAATCGAATAAGAGCACTGAAGTAGCCTCCTCCCCACCTAATCCCGGGAAATCCCTAAATTCCCCGAACCTTGAGCGATATCTATCGCCCGCTAAATCGTCGCAATACGGATCGTTCTAAGTGCACCGCATTGATGGACTGAATATATCTCAAAAATCCGCAAAATCCCGTCCGAAACGCAAACCAACGCGAATTTACCCCAAATATACAGAATTGCAGTGCACAGGATTTCCACAAGGAATGGGAAAAGACCGGGAAGCTCAGGATTGACGACCTTTATGGTGACCTGCTTCTATTCTGGGAACTCGCAGTGTGGGGCTTATTCAAGGGAAGGAATGGAACTTAGAGAAGCATTGGTGAGACATTGGGGCTCTTTGCCAAGAGGAGGGTAAGGTGTACTTCCTCTTTTACACTTCGAGCTGAGAACAAGTTGGTGCGGGGGGGGGGGTGCAGGGGAGGAGTGCGAGGATGAAATTCCTTGAACGAACATAATCTTAACATAATAACATAATGCCCGTAAAAGATAGAGATTGGGCTAGACACCTCTTCAAGAAGATCAGCTCAGAATGGAATCCCATGGTCCGAACTGCGGGAAAGGCAAACGTTTTCTAATGTATTATTCTTAGAAAATTTCTGGCTTCCTCTGTAGGAGAGCTCATCACACTTCTTCAGATGGCTCACAGGATAAAATCAGCGCTTTTTGGCTTGGAGGGGGTATTTCGCAGAGGTCTCACTTCTGTGGAACCTGTAAATTCCTGCGAAATGGTGCGATTGAGCCACTTTATCCACAGGAGTCTACAGGTTTCCACAACGTGGTCTGTGCAAGCTTAGCTGAGTACATGCCCCCCCCCCTCAAAGCTGAACTGCGCTGATGAAACCTACCAGGGCTCCTTTCGAAAGGCGAATTTTGTGGCACGGCGGGTATTTTGTTAGATTAACACCCAGTTGGGAAGCTGGTAACTGGGTAACTGCTAGCGTTATTACCGAACAAATCCCATGTCAGATCTCGTTCAAATCAACTAAGCTTTCGGATGGCTGGTATTATCCAGTCCGTGGTAGATTTATCGAGGAGGTTAAATACGTAAACGAACACTTTCTGGTCGCCTAAGAGCCACATCTTTAAAAGAGTCCCACCAGGTTGGTTAGTCCGCAGGGAGGGTAAAGTTCTACTACTCAAAATGTTTCTGAGAGCCCAAAAACCAGATGGCGCAATTCCTTTAGCGGGCTGAAGTTAAAGGGTTACCGTTGCGATAGTTACAAGATAACATCATTGGAAACCTTTCAGGGTGAAACTGAAAAGTGAAAACTTCACAAAGATCGTAGGAAGGTTTAGAGTTCGGGCCAGGCAGGTGAAAGTTTTAGGGTGAAGTTTCTTTCTTCACAGGAGAATTGCACCCACCTAGGATTGCGCCGTCAGCCTTCCGGGTGTCAATGGTGTAGTACTGTGAGTAGGTTTTTCCTAAGAAGCCTTTCAGACATTTCCACCTTCGGAAGAAGAAGTTTTGGCGCTGTTTGCCTTAGGAGGGAGAGAGGCACTGTTCGGTTTTCTAAATCGCTAGTTTCTTTCACTTGTTCCAACTAACTTACAGGTCTCACCTTGATGGCTCCCATCGATCATGTGAACTCACGGGTCTCATCTCATTCCGACCTGTAACCACCGGAATGCCCCCACCAAGCCTAACTTCTCCGGGATTTTCCTTTCAGCATGGGCAGTCCTATAGACCACTAAAAGTGCAAGGCAGATGTATATCAACTAGACACCATCAGATAGCACAAAAAATAAGGCTCCTGTTCATAAAACTGGTTACTCCGTCACTTTCGCCTAGATTCCACCCTTTCCACCGGATGACATTGCACGCAGGAGGCGGTAAATGGGGAAGGGGGGGGGGCTCAACATTGAAAAGAAGGATATAGTCTCGAAGTACTCACCGTGAACGAATTTGTTTTCAGCTGCACTTTCGATAGAAACGTGATGAGCCCCTTGGAACAGGCACTTGAATTCGGCTATCGTCCAAGGTAACTCGTCGTCAATAAGTTTGTAACAAGTATTTGTCACAGGAAAATATCGCCAACCATCAGCACACGGCCCGGCGGTGACCGCTGAAAACCCGCTCATAAAAAAACAAGCAAATAGGCGGCGAAAAACAATAGAAGAACGAGAAAACTCGTCTTCTGTGCGTACCGTAGACGCCAGCAAGCAGAAGAGCAACGACAGTGCGAATAATCATGTTGTTGTTGCTGCTGCTAGGGCTGTGCATGCTCTGCAGTGTGAAGTGGGTGCTCTTGGTCATCAGTGCTTTTATAGGGGCGGTCGAGGTCCATGGGCGGAGCCAACGTGAAAGGTGGGGGGAGCATCCGGCGTCGGCAGCGTACCCGCGCGCTTTCAGCAACGGTTTCCGGTGCAACGCCGCCGGGACCGCGATTACGGTAGCCGGATGGACAGTGCACACAGAAGGCGGTGATGGGGTGGGCGCTACGCGGAGACCTCAACGTCGCCGATGCAAACGCTCTGCATGGTTTTTCTGGACTCAGTGGTCGCAGTCGATATGGTTCAAGAAAAACAAGCGGAGTTTCTTTGGAACTAGGTCAAGGATTGTGTCCTTCAGAGAAGAAATGATTTCCATCAATGCCTTTTCATTGTCGTTGATAAAAGGCACTCCGGAAACGAATCAGGAAAAGAAACCAAAGTCATTTGGCCTTTCAAAACATTAAACACCAGTGGTTCCAGCTAATACTTCTTACATGTAATTTTTTTGAAATTGGGGAAACTGATGACGATAACACTACTAAGTGGCGGACATCACAACATGGGAACCAACGCAGGCCATGAACCCCATCAGGGGATCTTGTTTGGCCACTGAGTGAGGGTTCGGCGCCTGATTTTCTCTTTTTTAGGCGCACTACGCGTCCTCCCGCTCGTGAGGGGAGGGACGGCTGTAGGCGCCATCCCCATGTCTCAATGATGTGCCGTGTGGAAAAAGGAGAGGGTCTACTAAACGACGAAGGGAATATCGAATCCTGTGCGTGGCAGCTGCTTTGATCCACAGCCCGGTAGTTTTATTGTGTGGGAACAAATACTTCCACGGTTTCCTAGCTTTGATGTGCAGAAGAATGGCTTCAAGACTGAAACAATGGCAGGTGTAGTAAACGTGACCTTGTCCTTAAATGACTCCCACAGCAATCAAGCCTTTCAGGAGTAGGTCAGTTGGTAGCAGGGTCGTCTGGGTGGATAAATAACTGACTTCCGCATCTGTCCCCCTCATAGTTGAAGCGAATGCGGAACACGAACGGTATCGCAAATATTGATGAAAATCATGTGCGTGGCGCATCTGAGGAAGTGAGTAAACAAGAAACAAGCATTAAGTGAAGACCCTTCTATTATTGGTTATTTGGATCTGGTAGGCAGTAACCAGATCCAAATAACCAATAATGCCTTAGCTTAATCTTTTGATACCAAATAACCAATAATGCATAGCTTAATCCTTTTGCCTACCCGCCACCTCGCTGTCCTTTTGATACCGCCACCTCGCTGTCTTCAGCCCGACGTACTGTAGGTAGTACGGTTGGGTCAGCCTCTCGAGTGAGCGCCATGTAATCAACCTGTGATCGAAAAGCAAGGATATTGATGGGATCTCATTTTTGAGAGAAATGGCCTTGTCACTTTTTTGTTTCTAAGCACTGGTTATGATAAAGTGGTTCTTCTCAAATATAGAGAGGATGCGAGCTGCTGTGCACAACTTACTTACTGACTGAACTCCGGAAAGGGTGCAAGAATGGACTCCTACTCAGTAGCCAAACAAGGCTTGTGATGGGAATTCGCAGTGTGCGCTGGTTCCCGTGTTCCTTCCCTCATTTCGTCCGCCAACTATTACCTCCCTCACTTTCCGCTCTCCAAGCTCTTCTGGAACCGAATTATGAATTTTCGAAATATGTAGCTCACAACTGTGCGCACGCCCCGCCCACAGTGGGCGGGGCTTAGCTCAGTTCATGTGTGTTCCGTACATCTTGGCCCATGCCCTACCCAACCCACCCTTGACCCGCCCCCTCCAACTGGCTCTTCAGGTGATTCCGAATTTCCGGACAGACAGACAGACAGACAGACGTTGCCGTTTATATAGTAGGATCTATTATTCTGCTAAGTATAGATATTTGGTATGGCCAGATTCGGACCTTTAAAGACGTAGGGTCATTGTTTGCAAGAAAAAAAGCGTTTTCAATGTCTACGTTTGCACCAGCCCTCTTTTTGAGCGACTCCACGACCTTTTCACTTTAATATTAGCCTTGAAGCTTTTTTTCGACCTCGTAGAACGTGGTTGTGATTTAGTGACGCTGATAGTAAGGCCGATCACTCAGACAAAAAGGCTGCAGTGCAAGAGAGCTCATACAGCCGATGCACTTTCTGGGAACTCGGGCTAGGGTCTCTCCGCGGTGACCAGGTATCAATGGGCTTGTTGAGCGAAGCGAATCACTACATAATTCGTCTAGCTCTTCCATTTCCTCAAGTTCATCAGATATACACCCGGCTGCTTTTACGAAACTGAAGTCGTGAGAAGGGCGTGGTGCATCCTGAAGCCACTAGTCAACGTCGAGAGTCTAGTCAAAGACCTGTACTTTCACTTGTTTGGCACTATTTACCCTTTACTGCTCCGCTCTTTTAAAAATCACCCCGGATTTAACCGACTTCTCCGACTCTATCCTTGGCGAAAACATCGCCCTCGGGGCTAGTTTGATCTTTGGACAGAAAACATAAGCATTTCCTTGGCACGAAACCTCATGGCCTCTTCGCTGCAGACACCAGCATTACAATAGGTCCAAGGCTACAGGCGTTTCAGGTGCCTTAGCTCCGGTGCCAGGCGTTTTCCTGCACAGAAATTGCTATATTCGTTCTCTGAGTGTCAAGGTCCCCTAGGGACGGAAAAGGTCTGAACTCTTTCTGTGAAGACGTTCTTGATGGTTCTGTGATGACGATTGTCTACGACTGCACTTACTCTCGCCTCCGGAGAAATTCTGACCTTTTCTGGGTTTCCGACAAGCAGAAGTTCGACCCAACGTACACTCCTTATCCCTGAGACGGAGTAGGCGTGGCTTTTGAGCATGGCCGGGTTTCTCGTGGGATACTTCAATTTGAAACAACTGCTATCTTGTTCTGTGTTAGATGTAGACATGATTACGACTGCTCCAAAATGACAATATCTCACGAAAACCTGGGCCGCCGCCATTTTAAAATTGAGTACGCAGCCACGCCTACCCCGATCTCAGGGATTTCGAGTATACTTCCAGTGGGTTCGTAAACAGTGAATGGAGCTCACTGTTTCTATCCTATGCATAAAAAGGGTATTTTTTTCTTGATTCAAGCGGGCGTGCCTATCTTCATATTGCCTTCTTTTTTCATTATTTTTTGCTGCTATTTACACCATTCAGCAAAAGTTGTGATCATCTATTCTCCTAGCAGGAACTGCGGCTAACATTTCTGACCGTTTTCCTAAGGGACGAAAGGGGCGCAGCACCTTGTCGAGAGTGTGATGTAAAGTAATGTGAAGTGAATTCCTATCATTTTCTCCCATTTGTTAAGTTCACAAGTTACTCTGCAAAGCTGTTGTGCTGTGGGGTTCCTTCCGAAAAATTCTCTCCGAACGAAACAGGGGAAAACCAAGATGCAATCTGTTCCTTTGTGTATCCATTCTCCAAACCAGAACGATCTGTCGGTGAATGTGCTGCGTTTTCGTAGGGACTATTTTCTCCCAGAATACTTGTACTGCTCTGTTAAAACATTACAGCTTTTTACTTAGTAAAAAGTCTTGCGAAATGTCTTTAATGCGACTTCACGTTCCAATCGGCAGTTCCATTATCGCCCAGTTGTTACATTCGTCAGTTCATACAGTTGCGCAGTTTCGTCCACTGTCCTCCTCTAACTGGTCTCGCCTTCCTCACATATGTCCCTTTTCCTATCGTTCTTTCATTAATAAATTATTGAGAGCTATCACTTACATTTTTGCCCGATTATGTACATTTACATTTTTATTTACTTATTATCATTAGTTATCCATTTTGTACTGGTTAACTCGCAATTGCTGTCTAGCTTGTGTAAACAGGGTACGTCGTACGTTGCGAACAGGGTGCAGCATCGTTGTGTGAAACACATGGGGGGGGGGGGTCGTACTTGGCCGCTGTGGAGGGAAAGGGTCGTATTTGGTCGTTATTTGGTTTTTCCCGTTTCACACTGGCTATCTCCTTCTTCCCCCTCCCCTCCTCACCCTCTCGTCGGAAAATTTTTGGGTGGAAAAACTGGAAAATGTGGGAAAATTTGGAAAAACTGGTAGAGAGCTGGGAGTCCGTAGGAAAGTGGTAAGTGTTGGGGTTGGGGAAGGGAGGATTGT